GAGCTTCTAAAACCAGGTGAAACCGTTAATACTGATCGCTACCGACAACAAATAATCAATGTGAACCACGCTTTGATCGTGAAACGACCAGAATGTGCCAGAAGACACGGCAAAGTAATTTTGCTTCGTGATGACGCACCATCACACACTTCAAAACCAGTTGAAGACACGTTAAAAGATCTTGCCTGGGAAGTATTAACCCACCGCCGTGTTCACCAGACCTCACTCCTTCAGATGACCACTTGTCCCGACCGATGACACACGCACTTTCTGAGCTGCACTTCAAATCATACCAAGAAGTGGAAAATCGGGTCTCTGAATGATTTGCCTTAAAACAAGAAAAGTTCTATTGGGACGGTATCCACAAATTACCTGAAAGATGGGGGAAATGTGTAGCCAGCGATGGACATTACTTTGAATAAAGCACTTTTGATATTTCTCTCGAAACTACTGTTTTCTTTGATTACAAAATCCGCCATTATTAACTGGTACACCTAGTAAAATGCACAGTAATCAATGGTAATATTAGTAGTAAAATGTACATATTTTTGGTTCTGAAATTTCAGAAAAACTATACAGTGAAGAGTCAAAGGGGCCGAAACCGGTTTGGCTCAGTGGATAGAGCGTCGGCCTGTGGACTCAAGGGTCCCAGATTCGATTCCGGTCAAGGGCATGTACCTTGGTTGCGGGTACATCCCCAGTGGGGGGCGTGCGGGAGGCAGCTGATCAATGTTCCTCTCTCATCGATGTTTCTAACTCTCTATCTCTCTCCCTTTCTCTCTGTAAAAAATCAATAAAATATATATTTTTTAAAAAGAGTCAAAGGGGATACAATTTGCTTGAAAAGAGGTGAGACAGAACAGTGCTGACTTTTCAGATGTTGGGCTTTGTTCTTGGAGGGACGGAGGACAGCAGTGGGAACAGGGGTGTCACCCCGAGCTTATAGGACACAGGGAAGTTCCTATTTGAGCAAAACCTACAACGGCCTCCTGGAGGCTCAGTCTCATTCGAATCATGATGTCGCTGAATGAAAGTACAACCGTGATGCCCTCTGTGGCTCAGTCAGTGAGCTATGTTATCCTCTAAAGCAGTGGTTCCCAACCGTGGCTGCACATGAGAATCCCCGGGGAATCTTTTTAAAATCCTGATTTCTGGGCCTTATCTCCCGGAAATTCTGTTTCTTTGTTACTCATGTTGTGGCCCCACCCCAGAACAAAAAAAAACAGAATTTCCGGGGGATGAGGCCCAGAAATCAGGATTTTAAAAAGATTCCCAGGGGATTCTGATGTGCAGCCAAGATTGAGAACCACTGCTGTAACCCACAGCGCACAGCGCACTGACTGTATTTCCTGGCTGTGCGCTGCCCCGCCCCAACGAGGAGTCACTGTCCACCGAGGCGGACGGGCTCCATCAGCGGGGACCACCCGGAGCTCGCCAGGAGCCTCCCACATGGAAAGGGCAGGCACTTCCTGCTTCCCCACTGCAGCTCTTCTGCTCTCATCTTCCCCTCGTCTCCTCTATCTGACGCTCTCACCTCCTCTTCTAAAGGTGAGTCACAGAATGAAATGAATGACAATCGTGCTGGCCTAAGTCACAAACACGCACAGTGACTGTGTGAAAATGAGACTCCTTAGTTACAGCCTCCACTCTGAATCCGCTCCCATCCTAAAACCATAAGCCGCTGGATACATAAGGCAGGGCTTTGCCGGGCGGGCTCTGCTGCAGGCGCCCCGGCGGAATGAGGGCGTGAAGGAGACCGGCTCTTCCCACAGCCCTGCCCAGGAGGCGGCACACGAGCCTCAGGCCCTCGCCCTCTCCAACAACCTGACCACCACCGGCCCTGAGGTGCTGCATCCCAGGAACAGGGCTCTCCGCCTGCCAATGGCCAGCACCGCCCTGAGGAACAGCTGTCCAAGGCCAGCCCTGCCCTGGCCGGTTTGGCTCAACTGAAGGGTCCTGGGTTTGATTCCCGGTCAAGGGCACGTACCCCTCTCTCTCTGCCCCCCGACCTCCTCCCCCCCTCCCAGTCTCTCTGGAAATCAAAGGGGGGGGGTGCTCAGACGAGGATTAAAAAAAACAAGCCAGGCCTCCCACCTCTGGGCAGGGCCCCTGGCGAGGCCTGGGCCGAGCACCGAGGCCATTTAACACATTGTTTGCGGGTAGTTTTTATCGCGCGCTAACAGGTGGCGCGGGCCATTTTTGCTAATTTTTTGCACAAATGGCAACGTTCAGTAAATTTACGATAACTTTAGTTTACATATTTATACGTTACCCGCATTCTACTGCTAGTCTATAAAAAACGTATTAATACGTGTCCCGCGCTCTACTACACTGGTAGAACGTATAAATACGTAAAATGTATAAACACGTTTCCTGCATACAATGTGTTAATTTGCCTAAGACCACAGGCCCCTCTTTTCAGGTGCAAACGGGAAGCAGGAGACACTACTGGGAAGGTGCTCCATGAAGCCAGGAGCACCCACTTTTCCCTAAAACAAGATGAATGAGCCCCGCGAGGCCGAGGCCGAAGTCGCTACTGCAAGTCCCGGTTGGACAAGCGGAGGAAACAGGAACAGCTTCGAGGGCCAGTGCGCCTGACAACGCGCACAGGGGCTGCGTGTAGAGCACTGGCTCCCGCGGGGAAGGACGAAAACGCCAGCGGCGCGGCACCCTAGCAGAAGCGACGTTGGGCCCGGCCAGTGTGGCTCAGTGGCTGAGCGTCAACCTATGAACCAGGAGGTCACGGTTTGGTTCCCGGTCAGGGCACCTGCTGGGGCTGTGGGCTCCATCCCCAGCAGAGGGTGTGCAGGAGGCAGCTGATCAGTGATTCTCATCTTTGATGTTTCTATTTCTCTGTCCCTCTCCCTTCCTCTCTGACACCAGTAAAAATAAAAATTTTTAAAAAAAAGCAAGCAGCGAAGTTGGTATGTAAGTGGCAACCAATGGCTGGTCTGCGTGGAGTGCCTTTCCTCCTGCCCGCACAAAGGCCATTACAGAGACCAGCTGAACCCAGCTCTCCTGGCAGGGAGGAAGGGGGAGGGGCAGAGGCAGGGAGAGGGGCAGCTCTCACTCACACCTTTACATCTTTCCGATCGATCGGGAGTTTTCCCAAGACAGCATACATTTCCTAATTATTTAAAAACATGAACAGAGGCCATAACAGGAGACAGGAGCCATAAGAGAAAAAAAATGATACACTGGACTTCATCAAATTTTAAAAGTACTGGGTGAGAGAAAGCAAAAAGAAAAAAAAAGATGGGACAAGCTTTGACTAAATGAATAAAGCCTCTAATTTCCTTAAAGAAAATTTAAAAGGCACAGTCAAAAAAATTAGTTAAGCCACAGGTTGGGAAAGATATTTGCAACCTATGTATCTGACAAAGACTGGAACCCAAATATTAAAAAATTCCTACACTCGCCCTGGCTCAGTGGTTAGAGCATCGGCCAGTGGACCGAAGGGTCTGCGGTTCGATTCCCAGTCAAGGGCACATTCATTGGATGCAAGTTCCCCAGCCCTGGTAGAGGTATGTGTGGGAGGAACCAATTAATATGTCTCTCACGCTGATATAGTTCTCTCCCTCCCTTCCTTCCACTCTAGAAATCAATTGGAAAAAATATCCTCGTGAAGATTTTTTTTTAAAATCCTACCTACATTCAACAATAAAAAGACAAAGAACCCAATTTGCTAAATGGGCAAAACCCTTAGAACAGACACTGCACAAAAGCAGGTGCCCCAGAGGCCAGCAGGCAGGGAGGAAGCGCCCATTGCCGCTGGCCACCAGTCAGGGGAACCCCCACTGACCATGAGGAGACGCACTGAGCTGGAGGCAGGAGGAGCGGGCGGAGCCGCAGGAACCGCGCTCAGTGCCGCGGAGGAAGAGGCCCAGCCCTCTGCGAACCGGCAGCGAGCCTGTGCGCCCCCTCCGAGGACGGCCAGTCCTGACAGAACGCCCCAGAAGTGCACCTAGAGAAGATGGCTATTTCGGCAGGGCCACAGGCGGCCCCTCGGGAACAGAGGAAAAAACTGCAGGGACACGTGCAACAACAGGGACGACTATCAAGGGTTGTGCTGACGACAGAGGCTAGACGCGCGCGCGCGCGCACACACACACACTCACATACTCACACACACACACACACACACTGCATAACGTCACTCACCTGACATCCCAGCACAGGTAGAACCAACCTGTGGTCACAGAAACAGAGCCGTGTTGCTGGGCGGGGATGACTGACGTCTGGCAAGGGGCGTCAGGGGACTTTCTGGGCTCTATTTGTTGTTGTTAATCCTCACCTGAGGATATATTTTCCCATTAATTTTTAGAGAGTGGAAAGGAAGGGGAGAGACCGAGAGAAACATCGATGTGAGAGAGACATATTGACTGGTTGCCTCCCACACACGTCTGGGCTCTGTGTTTTTTTTAACCTGTTTATAAAGTAAACTCGGGTGTACTGTCACTGAAGTAAAGACGACCGCCTCAGCTTTGTGCGGTGGCAGTATCGTAGCCAATGAGATTTATCCGAGGCTCACTGTTGCTAATTAAAAAAAAAAAAAAGATGACCACCTCACAATTTTTTAAATATATTTTTATTGATTTCAGAGAGGAAGGGAGAGGGAGATAGAAACATCAATGATGCGAGAGAATCACTGATTGGCTGCCTCCTGCGCGCCCCCTACTGGGGAATGAGCCTGCAACCCAGGCATGTGCCCTTGACTAGAATCGAACCCGGGACCTTTCAGTTCGCAGGCCGACGCTCTATCCACTGAGCATACCAGTTAGGGCTGGGCTCTACTTTGATATGTATTAATCAAAACTGAGGGAACAGTATATTGAAAATCTCAGTATTTCACTGCATACAAACTACATGTCAATGTTAAAGCAGAATTTCCTAGCTGCTGTATGTGAATGCTGTGTGGATTCAGACATTGTTATTCAGGCGATGACTGCAGACGGCTATGAATGGTCTGGTTCTGAGAACACAATGAAGTTGAGCTGTGACAGGCGGATTAAGATGCCTCCCCCCAAGATTCTCAGCCCCTGGTGCACCACACCTTCTCCCAGTTATTCATTCAACCACTGATTGGGGGACTGCAGTGCCGGGGTTCTGCAGAGGTAATGAAAGTCCCAACCAGCTGATCTTAAAATAGGGCGGGATCCGGTGGGCCTGGCCCAATCACGTGAGCCCTGTGGATCTGGGTCTGGAAGTCAGAGAGGCAGTGTGAGGGAAGAGGGGCTGCAGGAGGCTCCTCATAACTGGCTTCAAGAGGGAGGACCTGAGAGAGCCAGCCGGCAAGGCAACCGGGTCGCCAGCCCCTCAACCAAAAGAACTGAATTCTGCTGCTCTGAGCTTAGGGAGGAACGCGCTCAGGGGGGTCCAGAGAAGGCTCAGGGGGGTCCAGAGAAGCCACGCCACAGGCACTGGGTGTGAACTACATTGTTATTTAGTTATTTAGAGAGAGAGGGAGGTAGGAAGGGAGGGATAAGCATCCACCATCTTTTTTGGAATACAGGATGACGCGCCAACCAACGGAGACACCGGGCCAGGGCAAGCTTGGCATTATTGATTATCCTGATTCGTGATAACCAGGCTGTTTCAAGTAAAAGACTTGAGCCGGAAGCCCGGCCTCAAAGCCAAGTCCCGCTGGGTTAAGCAGCTTGCCCTCTCTAGCCACATGCCTCCCCGCAGAATAGAGGTGGGCCCTGCCGGAGTGCCATCCTGATGCACCAAGGTTTCCGGTTTGATGCCCAGTCAGGGCCCGTACTGGAAGCAACCAATGATTGCACGGATGGGTAGGACAACAAATCGGTTTCCCCCTCTCTCCCTTCTCATTAAAACCAATTTAAAAAAAAAAATGGAGGTAGCCGAAACCGGTTTGGCTCGGTGGATGGAGCGTCGGCCTGCGGACTGAGGGGTCCCGGGTTCGATTCCGGTCAAGGGCATGTACCTGGGTTGCGGGCACGTCTCCAGTGGGGGATGTGCAGGAGGCAGCTGATCGATGTTTCTCTCTCATCGATGTTTCTGACTCTCTGTCTCTCTCCTGTCCTCTCTGTAAAAAATCAATAAAATATATTTTAAAAAAAATAAAAATAAAAAAATGGAGGTGGTTAAAGCACCAATTTTACCTGGTATGGCGCTCACCTCACCATTATCAGTTTTACTAGTAGTAGCAGTAGCACAGTAAACTTCAGAGGCAGGGACATTCAAAAGCATAGATCCAAACTGCTTTCATCTGCCTCCAAAAATTCAAACAAAATAGTCATCATTCATTTTTGATCTGAGAGTAGGTCAGCAGGAGGCTGCGGACGGCCTGGCGCAGGTGCCTGGGAGAGAAGGCAGGTCTAGTTGCTGTCACTCAGCTCTCGGAATCAGCCCTCCCTCCTCAGGAAAAACGTGGAAGGTCATTAATAACCTCCTAGACGCCAAATCCAACGGACTTTTCTGTCCAACTCTTCCTTGGCCTCTGAACCAATGTGAGTGACCAAGCCGCGCCCTCCCGTTTCCCAGGGCGCCGCCTGCTGCCCTTCAGGGCCACTCCGTCCACGGGCAGAGGCTCTAGCAGAGGTCGAGAAGGACACGCAACTGGCTTTAGCCAACATGATGCCACCTCTCAAATCTTTATTTCCAGCATAAATCTATCTTGAGCTCCAGCCCTAAACCTCCAACTGCCAGCTAGTACCCCGGCCGCCCAAACACTTCAGATTTAACCCCAAACCAGTGCGAAGTCCCCTCTGCCTGACCAGCCCATGTGACCCAGAGACAAAAAGTCCCTCTAGGTGCTTTCCTTCAACACTTTTACTAAGCGGGTCCGGCCAGGCACTGCCCATGCGTAAACAGGTGAAAATCCCACCTCGGGGAGCAGGAGGTGAGGGAGGGGCAGCCAGTAAGCCACGTAAGGAAATAATGAAGGACACCCAAAGTGCAGTGCTCAGGAGCGGGGCAGTGCGGACCCACACCCAGAGAGGTGTGCCTCAGGCCGGGCAGACGGGGCGGGGTGCTCACAGGACGCTGGGAACATTCAGCAGAGGAGTGAGGGACCCACATGTTTCAGTAGTTTGCTCTGGCTGCCCATGCTGCCCAGCCCTCCCCCTGCCTGCAGCCCCAGCCTTCCCCAGTCTACCCGGCCCCAAATCAAGGCCACTCCAACCACCGTTCCTCTGCTCCTGCCGGCACTGCCCTCACCCGGCTCTCAGTCCCCACTTGGTATAATGGCTCCCTAACTAGTCTCGTCTCAGTTCTAAGCACCTGCCACACTCCCTAAGCTCCTTCTAAATGTCACCTCAACTGGCTACCATCAACAAATCAACAAACGACAAGTGCTGGAGAGGATGTGGAGAAAAAGGAACACTCATGCACTGCTGGTGGGAATGCAGACTGGTGCAGCCACTGTGGAAGACAGTATGGAGTTTCCTCAAAAAACTACAAATGGAACTCCCATTTGACCCTGTGATCCCACTTCTAGGAATATATCCCAAGAAA